AATGAAGTTAGATGGGAAGGGCATATGGAGAGCTGCATGCGATAGCAATGGATAGAGAGACTTGGCGTGAGTTAATTGAGGGCCTATGCTCCATTCGGGGCTAGAAAGGCAGAAGAAGAAGAACTGAACTTGCAGGGGATCTCTGCCCTAGTGGCTTTGATTGATACAGGAATCAGAAATCTTGACTTGAAAAATGTTCTGGTATTCATAAGCTTGTCGGCTCTGTAGCTAAGTCGATGCGAACGCCTTGTAATGCCGGGATGCCAGTTTCGATCCCAGATGCGGGCCATGCGCCTTGCATTGGTTTCGACAGTGGTATCAAAGAAGCCGACCGTCCAGGAAGCAATGGCAAAGTACTGGACGTAAATTTGCCTAGAAAAACCACACAACGGCCAGAGGCTGTTGGGGTTGGTTCTGCAACGTCATGTAAAGGATACGCAACTAACCACTGATCAGCTTATTATCGTCTGCGTCGCTTGTTCTTCTCTAGCCGGCTGAAGATTTGAAGAAGAAACCCTTCTAGATTTACAAAAATCTGAATCTTAATGGCAAGCCAACAAGGCAAATTCCAAGTACCCAGTTCAACTTCCAAAGCAGGATAAAGACAGTTCCCTAATAATATCTATAGGATGGCCTACTGAGTACATAATTTCCTTGTCTGTAAACATAATTCAAAACTGTGCAGTGTTTTAGAGTATGATCTTGTAAATAATTAGTGCCAGCCTAACGCGTGAGTATGCTGGAAAGTTTTACTGGAGCATCATGACCATGTTAATTTTATATTATAGATAATTTTTTTTTCCTTTAAATGTGTTTGTGTGCACTACAATTCTATACAAACGGTGCTTACATCGTCAGCCGTGCCGATAATAGTAGGCTGTCATGTTTCACCATCACACAATCACCGCAATCACAGATTATGCCAATGTTTTTGTCTCGCCCATTCATATGACCAAGCCATTTAGGTTTCCATCTCTTTGCCGTCCCCTTGCTCCTCTCCCCCGGGTATTTTATTTGGCTTATGAGGGTTATATTAGTTAGATTATGAATGTCTATGTTAGTTAGATTTCAAAGGTTATCCTACTTAGCTTATGAAGGGATATCTTAGTTAGCTTATGAATGTGTATCTTAGTTAGCTTATGAATGTGTACCTTAGTTAGCTTATGAAGGTGTATCTTAGTTAGCTTATGAAGGTGTACCTTAGTTAGCTTATGAATGTGTATCTTAGTTAGCTCATGAAGGTGTATCTTAGTTAGCTTATGAAGGTATATCTTAGTTAGCTGATGAAGGTGTATCTTAGTTTGCTGATGAAGGTGTATCTTAGTTAGCTTATGAAGGTATATCTTAGTTAGCTTATGAAGGTATATCTTAGTTAGCCGATGAAGGTGTATCTTAGTTTGCTGATGAAGGTGTATCTTAGTTAGCCTATGAAGGTGTATCTTAGTAAGCTTATGAATGTGTATCTTAGCTTATGAAAGTATATCTTAGTGAGCTTATGAATGTGTATCTTAGTGAGCTAATGGAGGTGTATCTTAGTTAGCTTACGAATGTGTATCTTAGTTAGCCTATGAAGATGTATCTTAGTGAGCTTATAAATGTGTATCTTAGTTAGCTTATGAAGGTGTATCTTAGTTAGCCTATGAAGGTATATCTTAGTTTGCTTATGAATGCGTATCTTAGCTTATGAAGGTGTATCTTAATTATCTTATGCAGGTGTATCTTAGCTTATGAAAGTGTATCTTAAATAGCTCATGAAGACGTACCTTAGCTTATGAAGGTGTATCTTAATTAGCTTATGAAGGTGTATCTTAGCTTATGAAGGTGTATCTTAATTAGCTTATGAAGGTGTATCTTAGCTTACGAAGGTGTATCTTAGTTAGCTTATGAAGGTGTATCTTAATTAGTTAATGAATGTGTATCTTAGCTTATGAAGGTGTATCTTAGCTTATGAAGGTGTATCTTAGTTAGCCTATGAAGGTATATCTTAGCTTATGAAGGTGTATCTTAATTAGCCTATGAAGGTGTATCTTAGCTTATGAATGTGTATCTTAGTTAGCTTATTAATGTGTATCTTAGTTAGCTTATGAAGGTATATCTTAATTAGCCTATGAAGGTGTATCTTAGCTTATGAAGGTGTATCTTAGTTAGCTAATGCCTAATTCTAGCACTGTATCTAGTTTATCGTTCTATAATTCCATGATATTCCTGCATTCTTCCCAAAAACCACATCTCTACTTCGAGTAAATATTCCCAGCTTTATGTCCATCTCTGCAAATAACAACACGGTTCTTTATAGCACTTAAAGACTATTTCTCTCATTGCAGTTCAGCACTAATTGTAAGCTTGAAAAAATGTAATCATTGCTTCCTGAGGGATATCAGACTGGCCTAATCAAATCTGTTTTATGTGTCAGTGTAGTTTTTAACTGCTATATCTTTTATTATTTACTGTGATGCAACTAATGACCATACCTGCTGCACTGGTAAACCAAGTTTAATCAATATTTTTGGACTACGATCCTGTTTTGTTTACATTTAAACGCTCTGGCGTTCACACAGAATCGACACATTCACAAGTCGTTAAGATGGGAGGTCCTTGAAAGGATTAGCTCAGTGTCAATAGCGGTCACCGCAGACGTAGTCAGGACGTTGACACTACAGACCTAGTCACAACATTGGCTCAACCATTGCAGGCTTCGCTGTGGCTGTATTAAATCAGACGGTCAGCCAAATTGTCGCCATATAACGCAGTCTTCAGAAAGAAAACCCACTTTCTCCAGCCCTTTACAACGTGACCATCTGTTCTAGTCAGAAGACATCCTAGTGAAAACTTTTACTGTAAAAAAAAAAATACAAATAAAATTAATGCTATATCTTCTTCTCTTCTGTGGAATTTAAACAACTTTTTCAAACAGAAGTGAAGCAGAAGACAAAGCAAATAGTAACAAATGATAACAATCGGTATATAATAGTTAAGCAACCTAAGAAAGCAAATTCTGAAGAAGAAAAAAAAAACAAAAACAACCAATAACGAATAATTTGCCAGCAAGTTTGAGAAAAAGAAATAATTTTTTTTTTCTAATTTACTATTTCAAAAATTAAAAACTAAAACCGAACCTCGTACTTTATACAGGGTAATTATTAATAAAGCTGATATCTAGCCTAACTTCTGACGATGAAACAGCTGATGGAATTATCCTATGTCATGTTACTATTGGCCCTGGCGGCCGTGAAGGCTGATGAAGACAACGATGGTGGCGAGAGCAGCTTGGTAGAATCCTGTGAACAGGAGGACTTCTATTGCGACTACGAAGATCCGTCCGTGTTTTACAGATGCATTGACCATGTGCTTCACACATTCCGTTGTCCCAGTGGGTTACATTTCAGGTGAGTCATCATCATCATTATCAACCACTTATACCGTTAAGCGACGTGTGGAAGAATAATTTACGATCCAGGGCACGCTAGCTGCCATTGGCTATTATCATGCCGTGAAGGCGTAGAGTGTCTTTAATGTGGGTCCATGTTTTTCACCGCCCTCCTCCTGATCTTGTAGCTGATATTTTGAGATACAGTGCCTGTGGTGGTATGTGATCTAGCTGCATTCCAGCGAGATAGTCAAATCACTTGATTTTTGGTGAGTACAAGAATATTTTTGTTTGAGCTGGACTGAGTTGAGAACCGAAATCATTGCATTCGGGATATTTCCAACAGAGCTCTGTCCTAACACTCAGCAGCCGGCGAAGAGTTGAAATGCTGATATGTGTGTCTTTCAATCCCACCAGGACCTACAACAAGCGACCAACATCCGGTGACACAAACTGCTACCATTCAGATGAGGACAACCCGGGCACAAGTCTTAAGAACTCCGTTTAATCGTGAGGTTAAATTGGGGTACCCGACAACTACTGTTGTGGGGCTTGAAAATAACGAAAAACTGCTTCCCACATTGGGACAGGATTATATTCATTGCAATTCTGATGGTACCTTCTTCTTTTTCTTCTTTCGTTCGCTTGAAAAAGATTATACATATCTGCAATGTTTTCTCTAGCATGAACTTCACTGTCTTTTGTAATTCACTCAGCCACCTGTAAAGTTGGACTTACACCGATTTTTCTCTTAGCCAAAAGTTTTGCCTTGGTATGTTGTTTGCAGGACATGCCCTGTTGTGCTGATGGTACCAATAGTGGTTTAACTAAACTTCCATTTTGTTAGTGTAGAGACCAAATGCTCCTGATCATTCCAGGCTGCACTGTTTACACCCATATCTTGCTTGTTATACATCAGTTTACCTCGAAGTGGTGAACCAGCCAATCTGTCTACATTTACATTTCCCAACAAACCCTAATACTCTAAAGAAAAGATTCAGAGGACCCTAAACTAGTGAAGAACTATAATGCGACACTTGCTAAAGATACATTTGCAGCAGCAATTCAGAAAACACTAGCCAGTAAAGTCACTGAAACAAATCACCAGAGAGATTTTGTCTCAGTTCCCTTTCCACACGGCTCAAGAACTTTCAATGTTAGAACTGACCTTTCCAGCCATATGCGCACTCACAAAACCTAACCCGGTCACTAACGGATGAAAAGTTTGGTCATACCTTTGCCAGACGAGCAGCAGCACACGTTTGGTATTACACCACAGAAAATATGATTTTAAACATTGCCTTTTAATATAGGCTATTACCACGTTTTAAGTGGCGTATAACAGAGAAGACCCGAGCCCTTTAGTAAAGCAACCATTCCTGATTTATGATTAGTATTGGATGTTGCTGTTTTGTTGTTGTTGTTTTGTTATTTTTGTTGTTGTTGCTGCTGCTGCTATTTACGATAGAGAACATCTGCATCGCATAGACACAGTTTTAAAGACTGCTGATAAACACATTCAATATGTAATGAAGATATCTTTGGCATCGTTAACTCACATATAGAACTGATTGCCCACATCGGGGACAAAGGGTGGGGGGGGGGGGGGGTGGGGCATTTTGTTTAGCATGTCATGGAAAAAGGACAACTACAGTCATGACAACAGCAAAGCTGGGGCGAGGTTGAAGAAATCCAGAGGAAGATCAGAAAAGAAGAACATAAACACACAGCTGTATCCTGAATAATTGACAGGACACGTGACAGAAGGCTGTGGACACATATCATTAGCAACTCCGCTTGGACTTAGGAAAGCATATGGTTTGTAGTTCCTATAGAGGCACCATTAATGTAACATATGCATTAGGTTCTTATATAGATCATCCACAAACTTTCTAAATACAGTGGGAAAATGTCACTGCTGTTGCGAGTATACCCATGTGTAATACTGCATTGCCCAATTTTTTCTCCAGGCGATGCCGGAGTAGTGGGTAATGAACAGACAGACAGAATGGCTGGATCTTCACCACTGGGTGGTGATACATGACAAGGCAGATGTGGTCAAGGCCCTTTGGGAACAAGCAACAGAATCAGTAGAGAAACAAGATTATTATGGTCTGAAGAGAATGAGGCACCTGGGTGTAACCAAAGAGTCTGGCCGGCTCACTAAACTCAGAGGAAAGGCAAGACGGACATACAACCAGATTGTAACCGGGACCATCAGTATTAGGACTCTAGCTGCTGAAGATGAGGACGGAGCGCTTATGGGAATGCCCCGAGTGCTGTGATATTAATTCTGGACTCAACTCAACTACATCGCCCGTGTGGGTTTAACCATTATGGGGGAAAGAATAACAGACACTTGCCCCAAGCAAACCTATCGTAAAAGGCACCTAAGTAGGGGTGTTTCCTTTGAAGGCAGAGTGTATTGTCTGAGAGAACAAAAACCAGCAGTCTGCATACACATAGTCCATGTGTAAATCGGGTATGCATTCACATATTGACTCTCACTTGTGAGTGTAGAGGCAGATGTAACATCTACAAGCAACTTCCCTCTTTAAAAGGGAAGCGAACGTATTTAGAGTTACAAGTCTTATAGTTAACAAATGCATCCACGTTAATGTGATTTCAGAACTATAGCCATCTATTTGTTTACAAAGATTTAACTGCTAAGGTAGATTACCTCGTGTATTACTGGCATTTTTCTTTCTTTCTTTCTTGCTTTTTTTTTAAATTTATTTATTTATTTATTTATTTATTTATTTATCTGTTTCGTTATTTCTTTGTCTGCTTTTTTCTTTCTTTTCTTTGTTTCTTTTTTCTTTCTTTCTGTCTTTTCTTTCTTCTTTTGGGGATAAATTGATGGGTAGTAGTAATATCATTGTAGAGGTTGTAACAATTAGACTGGGATGTCAATAAATGTGATATCAAGCCATTTTCGTCATCCCCGTGTGGGATGCAATTTTTAGTTATTTTGAAGCCCCATTCTGGTTTTTGCCGGGAGCCCTAAATATAGCCGGGTCTGAAAAATGGCCTTATGGCTGAAAGTGGTTTCCGGGACCTCTCCGCGTGTGATCTTCATTCGCCTGGTGGCACTTTGTGAGATGTCCTATTGTGGTATAACTTACATAGATATACGTGATACTGTTACTATTCAGTTAAAAACCAGATATGTCACTAGTAGGATTCTATAAGTTAAACAATGTCATTAAATGTGATACGATCAGTTAGATATTTGCTACTAATAAACCGATATGTAGCAAAATGTCAAACAATTAGCTAGACATGTCGCTACAGTGGAGATACATGTGTAAATACAATATAGGTATTACTGAAACGAGCTTCGTAATGCCGGGATGCCGGGTTCAATCCCAGCTGCGGACCCTGCGCCTTGCATTGGTTTCGACTGTGGTATCGAAAAACCGACCATCCTGAAAGCAATGGTAAAAAAACTACTGGAGGTAAATTTTCCTATAAAAAGTCTTAAAATGCTGGGGTTGGTTGTGCAATGTCCTGTAACTAACATTACTTGAGAAATGGTTACAAGGTAGGCAGAGGCGCCACTACTGGAGTAAATTTTTTTTTTTTTTAACACAGAGATGACAGTTTATGATTCTGATACCTTTAGTACAACACATCACCCGTGGTCACCTTTTCAACAATTAAAATTGTTCGCTTTTCTGTTGACGTAAATGTTTTGGGCTCGACACTACATCGAGACAATTGTTTTTATAAGCATGACATTAACTCCCAGGTTGACCCAGCCCTACATGGGTAACAGTTAAAGTCCTAGGAAGTAATGATGGCCGGCGGGATGTTGAGCGCATCACCCATCAAGGCTTTTTGTGGGCTAACATTATATCTAGCAAACTTCTGATACGCCACTTTCGTGAAAGGGTCCTTTACTTTTACCTTTTAATTCTTTCACTTCTGCATTGTCGGCCCTTGAGATTAATTGCTGCAGATATCACCTGTGCCCACTCATCTCTCTGGTTGGCCTTCGGTTTCCAGTTGGTGACACCAAGTGTTTGTAGGTCTGTCTGGTTATTATCTCTCTGTCTTCTTGGTCTGCCTCGTCATATACGACCACCCAACTCTCGTGTGTATACAGTTTTTACCTCTCCCTCATTTGACATCCTGGTGGCAGAGCACTTATGGTAAATGGCCGTGTGCAATGACGCTTGTTCACACCTCCCGACCGTATCTTTTTACCTTTACATTCTCTCAATATGCCACAGCCATTTCAATATATTAGCCACCATGATCTAAACTGTGATCATTTAAAAAAAAAAGTGTTCTGATTTTATTTGAATTAAAAAAAAAAAAATACAATAACAAACAAATTCAACATTTCAGCGCGGGAACACAAACTTGCGACTGGCCTCACGTGGCAGACTGCTCGGGTGGTGAAGCAGCTAGCGACTCCTCCAGCAGTCAACAGAGTGACTCTGATGACAGCAGTCCCAGCAGTGAAGAATCCCAAAGCGGTGGCATTCCCAACCACAGCAACATCGTGTCTCTTGATAAAGACAGCGTTAAAGCGTCCGACGACGCTGGAGGTAAGTAAGCGTTGTTGAATAGGATAAGCCATGATGATGACATTATGTAGCAGGTCCTTTTCAGAACGTCCTACTAACACAGCATGTCTGAATGAAACTTGTTCGCTCGCCAGCTGTCCTGCTTCAGGTACATTCCTGCACAAGGTATCATTGAAGTTTTGTGCCCAAGTGTGTCCTGGTGGGCCCCTGCCTTCACTCGACTGGTATGATCCCCTCCGCAACTGTTCTTTTTGCAGCCCGACATTCAGGGTTTCGGTTTCAAAGGGAGGACTAGGCATGGCGGAATATAAAGCTTCGACGTTATTTTTGTTTCCCACAGCGCTTTGCTAATGCCACATATAGACGGTAGTTAACGGTTTCGCTGCCTGGGCTATTGTTTAGTGTTTGGCGCAGCCCTGTAAGCTGTGTTTTTCACGTAGAATGCCTTTTATTTGTGCAGCGGTTGAGTCGTGGTATTCAATATGGCCGCTAGCCGGTTTACGTGTGGGCTGGTGATTTACCTTATGTAATAATTCTACGTGTGCCTAGCCAACTTACCGTGCTTGACTACTTCCATCAATGGTGAACTGCATTTCTGGTGGTTACCGTTGGCTTTGGCGCCTCTAGCAACCGCCCTATTTACTGCGTGCGCGTATTTCTCTATGTGCAGGACTAATTCTTTGTTCAACAGTTTTTCAAACGGAACTGTGAGGGACATTTCATTTGATTTTCACTGGCACAGGAAGGGAGCAAGTATGAGGTGACCCTATTGCAATAAAGCTGAAACCTCGACTAAGACTAAGTCTTTGCAACCCACTGTAACGTTTGTCCACGACTCACATCCCTATGTTGCTTCAGGGAAGATGCATGCTAGCTAAACTTTGAATTTAATTGTGCCTCAGTAACTCAGTGAGTATGTTCAAGAAGACAGAGCTGGGTTTAGTCCGAAGACAGTGGTTGATGTCTCTTGGGCTGTCACGGCTTACAAGGATGTTTCAATATCGTGCTGTTTCGTACGGTTGTTAAAAATAAAAATGAGCAATCTGATAGGCTGCTCGTGGGTAAGACTGCTGTGCCGGCAGATGCGCCTTGGACCAGACTCAAATACTAAGTGCTCTACGATAAATAAGACGTTAGGAGAACCCATTGGGGATTGTAAACCGCAACCATAGTCAGACTGCGAGAATAGCACGTTAAGCGGGGTGCGGCCAAACAAGGGCATTATGCAGGAGGCTAAAGAAGAATTAAAGGTGATCTAATAAATTAACTTAGCCATAGACTTTTAATACTTTTTAAAATAAATCAGTCGACAAATATAGAAAGTATGAGTAACTTAAACCAATGGAAACTTTGACTAGAATACACAGAGCAGAACAATTAAAAATACCAACCAAAATTTCTACCAAAGACTTTATCAACGACCTAAGAATAGAATCCTAACATTTAGACAGATCGCGTATAAACTAAAATGCGAAAGATATAAAAATTAACAAAAGAATCAGGACGAGCTAATACGAAACGATACATTACCAAAAACGAATCAAATAAAACAATCGGAAGGATGCGAGACTTTTATCCGCCACTGGAGCCACCGTGGTGTAGCGGCTAGATGGTCGCCTGCAAATCTAAAGATCGCGGTTTCAGTGCCTGACGAAGTCAGCTTTTGTCAGAAGGACCTATGTTTCTAGGTGGAACCCGCCTTAAATGGGTACCTGGCAAAGTCCTGGGAAGTAAACGGGGTTGGAGTGATATTGACCAGATCATCCATCAAGCGCCGACTGGTCTATAAAATATAGATCTGGTTCCATGCCCAGATCTCTAGCGTAGTTGGCTAAACCGGATTGCACGGTGAGCGGGTGACGAACTCCTTGTGGTCCGGGTTCGTTCCCAGGGGTAGGCAGAAAAGCCACATTTCTCCCAGATTTACGGTATTTACAATAGAATCAAGGCCGAAAGGTTGCGATATCCATAATACCGAGCCTAGGGGTTAACAACTCATGGCTTCTGGATACTAAAACAAACAAACAGATCTGGTTCAATAATCAAAATACACCTGAAGGTGTGGAAAGGCTCCTTTACTTATTTATAATAAAAGTAAGTAAAGATCCTTTTCATTCCTTAGGCACATCGGGCATATAAGAAGAGCATCACATATTTTTACAGACTTATCGGCACTAGGTGGGTAATGTTTTCAGCACAGGACAGCCATCCTGGTACCCATTTTAGTCTGGGTCGACATGCAACGCTCAATACCATGATAAAACTCCACGCCCATCAAAGTACTAACTACGAAGTTGACTTCGGTTGTCGGACGAGAACCGGTATTTTCAACGTGGTATGACCAGACTTACTTGTGTGTGTCTCTGTGTGTGTGTATACATATAAATACAAAACATAAAGCGTTAATTTATATATTTTACAGAAATATTATATATATATATATATATATATATATATATATATATATATATATATATATATATAGACATAACAAATATGCGTGTGTGGGAATATTATTAATATGGGTACCAATACTAATGTGTGTATCTTCAGACATAACTAATTTATGTATGTCTATAAATAACAAATATGTAAATTTATAGACATAACTAATATATGTATGTACAGACATAACTGTATGTATACGAAAAGAAATGATATATTCGTATGCAGTTAAACACCTAATAAATATATGTAAGGATTAGGCCACTCATGCAGACACTGCAACGTATGAAATTTTAAGTTACTAGTACTACTATACATGCATACTCTCAACTGTGAAACCACAAGGAGGAAGATATCACGTGATACCCTCTCCGATGTAGTGGTTACCTACTAACGCTTACTCATGTGAATTGATCACGTCTCGCCACTGTGTGTAGAGGCAACTAATATGTGTATGCACAGACATAATTAAAATATTTCTGCTAAACAACAACTAATATGATACTATATTATAAACCACATTCAGTTTCAATACAGAACTCGTGGATCAATCAAGCAGCAGCCGCTGGCAAGTCTTGGTGGCGACCCGAAGGAATCAAGCCACATCAGTGGCAGGATGTCAGTAGCATCAAGAAGCCAGATTTCAAGCCACACGTTCCAGACAAGCCAAAATCGGAGGCGGAGAGCCCTCCAAAGCCGTCAGAAGATGACAGTCCTCCACAGAAGTCAGAAGATGACAGTCCTCCACAGAAGTCAGAAGATGACAAACCTCCACAGAAGTCAGAAGATGACAGTCCTCTACAGAAGTCAGAAGAGGAGAGCCCTCGAAAAAAGACAGATGGAAAGAGTTCAGAGGAGTCAGCTCCGAAAAAGGCGGATCCTGTCAGTGCACAATCAGCACCTGCCGGGAAGCAGGAATCAGCCAGCGTGCAGTGGAACGAAGGATGTGAGTATATACTACAGGATTCTTCTCTATTCTTCTTCTTCTTCACTTCCTCTTACCACTTCGGGTATCGGGAGAGATATAAGGTTCTGCTTCTTGCTCTTCTTGTCATTCCGACCATGGATGTATTGGGCTGTTGTAGAGTTTCTCTGATGTTATCTTTCCATGTTGTTCCTGGTCTACTTTGTGCTCTATATCTTTGTACTCTTTTTTGTGTATGCCGTGTATGTTATAGCGTCAAAAGGCATTCTATCTAAGTGGGTAAACCATTGATTGGCCGTTTTTGTAAGTAATTTAGAGCTGGTTCTGGGCCAACGTTTTCTCTTATTGCCTCATTCCTGATCTGATTTCTTCTCGTCACTCCTGCATACATTCCCAGGTATCCAATTTTCATAGTTACCATTTATCCTGGCTATTGCAATAGTAATTTAGTAAAAACTAAAATGAATGATGAATGTTAAATTAAGAAGCGACATCATAGCACTCGGGACACTCCCATAAGCTATCCGTCTCCATCTTCAGAAGTGAATATAATGTTCAAATTCCGATGGTACCAGTAAATGTCTGACTGTACATCTATCTCGCCTTTCCCTTGAGTGTTGAGCGTCGGCCAGATGCCCTAGTAACTCCCTGCAGCTGTACACAGATGTTGTTACTGTATCTGACTCACCGAGTATGTTGAGAAAGATGGAGACAGGCATGCTCCATGCAGAGTGGCAAGCATCGCTTCAAAAGTCCCGGGTAGTTAACGTCCTTTTCTCTAGGTTATGCTGGTGTGTTGAAAAACTGGCCGGTTCTGCACCACTATAGTAAACACTGATAACATGTACTCCAAGGGACCGAAAAACAAGAGTTCATGTTGAAAATATCGTGTTTACTATCGATAATAGGTGTATTCTGAATCTCTCCTGGGACCAACATTCTGTTCATGTTAATCAAGTTTTGTCGTGTGTTTAAACCTTATAATTTGTCGTGACTACTACTTCCATCAGTGATGAACTGCTATTTCAGTGACAGACTGTCAATGCTGACATTTTTGGCGGCTGCAGTATGCATTTTATGCTTGTTGTAGTTTGTAGGGACCTCTGTGTGTTTAACTACTCACACGAGACAGAGACATTCTGTGTCGTTTTTACAGGAAGGAGTTGAGCGGTGACCTTTAGTCGCGAAGTTATAACTGCGACTGATAACCTTATCTTCTTCTTCTTCGTAGTGTTCACCGGTTGTCTATTTTAGGCGGAAAGATATGGTTATTCGTCCATTCCTGGATTTATAAACTTGAGTTTTCACGTACACCTGTTTTACCAATCTGACTTATTTGTGTTAATTGCCCTTCCGGCAGATGCACTTTTACTTTCAACACTTCAGCTTTCAATGAAACGCTCCAAATAAGTCGGTTCCTACGACATGCTTTTGTAGGGGGGTAGGGGAGAGGATGGGGAGTGGGTCTTTTTTTTTTTTTTTTTGGTTCTCGTCAATCCCCGAAGCCCACACGGGGAGATATCCTGATCTGAAATTAAATATATTTTGTTTCTACATATGTTCGCTACTTTTTTTTTCATTTGTGTGTGTGTGTGTGTTTTAAGGCTCTTTGAATTTCTCTGTACCATGCTATTACATGCCCAAGAGAGTAATAGTGTTATTTGTTTTAGTTAATGTTAAACCTTCCATCCTACAGCCTGCTCCTCAAGCTGTCAACTACCACACTGCTACTGTGCGGGCACCTCCATTCCAAAAGATCTCCCTGTAAAGTCTGTACCCCAGATGGTAATGTTGACTTTCGATGACGAAGTTTCTGCTGCCTTTTATGGTTACTATCAAAGACTCTTCAGACCAGGGCGATACAACCCTAATGGATGCCCAGTGAGTACGCTGCCTATCCTGGAAAATACAGTTTTGATGTGAGAAATGTTCTTCTAAAACACCAGATGCAATCGATTTCCCGTCTTCTGAAAGTTATGGAATCGAAAACTCTGACGTTAATAATAAATCATCATCATCATCAAGTGCCTTGCCAGCTGGCGTAGGCGTTCAAGCATCTCCACAGATCTCGGTCTTTGGTGTTCTGGATCAATTCTACTGATGAAATTTCTTCATGCCACTGCGCTAAGCCATCCACCATCATTTCTTTTTGTCTGCCTCTGCCTTTTCTATCAGTGATCTTTACAGTCGTCACGATATTTTTTCAGTGCTTATTTTCTCATCACATGATAAAAGAACTTTGTTTGTCTCCTTCTCATTGTTGTACATAATGTTCTACTTTCATTAGCCATTTCCAGCCAATCATTGTTAGTTTTTCTGGTCGTCCAAGGTATTCGCAACATTCTTCTTAAGAACCACATCTCAGTTGCAACAACAACACAATATTAGAAGGAATTTATGTATCAGGATAATAAAATTGGTTTATTAACACAAGATTAGTCTTGGGTTGCACGTTGAGACTGTTTACAAACTATGCACAAGTAAACCAAGGTCGTCCATAAACAGAAGATCATCACACTTCCCAGAATGGTTTGTGTCAGCATATGTATCATAAGAGATTGAGCAGTGTTGCCATTTTTCTTTGACAAAAATCATCCAAAACGGAGTCAAAAAATATCTAAAAACATCTAAATTTGTGGGGAAAACGTCTAAAAAACACACCTCCAAATGGAAAGAGTCACAAATTACATAGCAATTGATATGATTTAGCCTGTAAAATCATGTCCTCATCTTTAGTGAAGTCTGCCTTACAAGATCCACAGGATAAACTTAATTTGGATGATGAAGTTGAAGCTTCAGATCCAAAATGACTCTGGTATGCTTTAGCTGTTCCAATTTCTTTTAATACCCAATCAGTGAGCTGATAAGTGGAACAGCCTTTTCCTACTGTTATCAGGCAAAATTGAATTGTCAAGATAGCATTTAAGAGGTCAAATTTTATCCTGTTTCTTAGGTTAGATTCGATAAATTCACTCCGAATGACAAAAACATCTAACATTTAAACGTCAAAAACGCCATCTAAATTCAAGGACAAACCTCTAAATCTGGATGTAAAGCATCTAAAGTGGCAACACTGATTGTGAGTCTGCGGCTATGGGGCTGAGGCGTTAGTAAAATGGTTTATTTATGCAATCCTCGAAGTTAACCAGAGGTCGATTGCCGCGGCAGGCGGTTGGGAAAAAAAAAACCCGTTCTCCTGGCTTTGGTACGAGAATGGCACCAAGGGGGAGATTAGGGCCTCAGAGAGAAATATTTCCATATTTAGCAGTGGATACGCTACAGCCAACCTCTGTTGTACCATGGTACATTTTTTATTTTGCTATTGCTCGAGGGATCCTTTGTTGCAAAGTGACTAGTTCGGTGGTCGCATATCCTGGTGCATCCTGGTGCATTTTAAAACTTACCTTGGGATTCGAAGTCGATCGAGTCTAACAAGGAAAGGGTACTAGATACAAAGTAAAGGACTTTATTCACGCATTCAAGTGTACTGGGCAAATAGGGCTAGATCTATATTTTATAGACCAATCGGTACTCGTTGGTGATGTGGTCAACATTCCGCCGGTCGCCTTTACTTCCCTTGATTCTGCCTGGTACCCATTTCAGACTGGGTCGACCTGAAAGTCGAAGTCATTTTTGAAAAGTTTGGCTGCATCAGGATCTGAATACCAGACCTTTGGATCCGCAGGCTAACGTCTAACCGATGCACCAACGTGGCTCTCTTCAGAGATATCACGATGATGAAAGTCAAGTGGCATGATGTTGACTACTGGTCAGTCTACTGCCCTGTCATCTATAAAAATACTAAGTTATCAAAATAAGCATGCTGAATCTCAAGGTGTGTAAACGATCTTTCACAATTTAAAAACAGCGCTTGAAATATTATCGTATGTATGGATACTGTTGATTAAACAAAACAGAATATCGGTTGTCATCACCATTTTTAGATCTCTTTTGTCGATAAACTTAGTGGACAGGAACTAATGCTCGACAACTTGCACTTACCACTGTCCTTGTAGTTAGTTAGTGGCGTATTCTTTACAAGACGTTATGGAATCTGTCTCAACATCTTGTGACTGTTCGTGATTTGACTATATCAGTTTACGTTTAGTAGTTTACCATTGCTTTTGAGCGGTCAGCTTCCGATACCGTTGTCGAAAACAACGCAAAGCGGTCTCCTGCCTAATCGCCAATACCTGCGATCGAACTGGATTTCTCAGAATTACAAAACAATTTCGCAACGCTTAAGCCACAGACGCTGATTGTGGATGCACGGGGACTTGCAGGTCATTAATCCATTTTCTCCCCCAGCAGCCTTTTACTCACAATGTATCTATTCAGGTATCTACCTGTGTTGTAATTTTTTTTTTTTGGGCCTGCCTTCTAGTAAGATGCCAAACAATGTTGTCTTCTACTCATCAATGGATCTGAGCCCCCCCCCCCCTCCCCGCCCCCACCCGTTCCCCCCCCCCCCAAAAAAAAACGAGTTTTATAGTATCATTTCTCATGTGGTCTACGTCATGAGCGCTGTGATGTCAATTCTTGACTCAACTCAAGTGAACTTCTTCTTCTTCTTCTTGTTCACCGGCTGTGAATTCCGGCGGTAAGTCACGGTTGTTCGTCCAAAATGGACTTTTGGCTTTTACCTTGACCTGAGTTTTGCGTGTACATCCGTTTTACTGGCTTATTTGTTTGCAGTACTCGTTCCCCGCCTCTCCGGCAGATGTACTCCGACTTCGGAGGAACCAAGTGAACTCAACTAGACGACTTCCTCGTCGTTGTCGGGACAGCATTTGGGTCTGTCTCCTCTGATCGCATCAACACTGCAGGAGTTCTTTTCTGTGCTCTTGGTGGCATGTGATGCTAAGCCATTTTATATGGAATACATAACCTAGTCACAATTATAACCTAAAGCTCCCATTTAGGAGATGCCGGTTAAAGGTTAGGAATTGTTTTCCAAGCAAAGCACCTTTTTTCTTGGTCTACGAGGGTTATGTATGCTGCCTTCCTTGAGAATCTCATTCTACTGGTGTTAATTTTAAGCCTTTGATAATGTTCAGTTCTAGTCTTCAGCACATTGTTGATATGAATATGTTGTTTATAAACAGACTATGTAACCACCTCACATAAATAGAGTTCTGTATGTTTAATAATGCACTGAAATGGTCAACTTCTCAGATTCGAGGCTGCCTGTTTGTGTCGGGAAGCGGAACCAATTACGACCTTGTCTACCCACTTTATGCCATGGGCGTCGAGATTGCCAGTCATACGATCTCACACAGGTCAGGCGTGCATTATACAATTTTTTCCCTCTATTTTTTTAAAACTGTTAACTCTAGCGTCTTAAGATGGTTAGTGAGATAGTAATCTACCCACATATCTTGTGTGGTGACATTGCATCGTTGTTGTTCCTGCTATTATTATTGTCCTTATTGTTGGGGCGAGGGTGGTGAGTAGGTCTTGAGCCCGCAATCGATTGAAAATTCCCGATAGAAAACTGGAAGGTGTTGTGACCACTGAAAAGAGAGATAAAGTAACACGCCCAAAAAAGTATTTTGACATCCTTTTGTCATGGTACAGAGGGGTGACGGTACAGGAACTGATACATGCTGTTGGAGATTGCTTGTTTAGAAGCGGCATGAAGGCTTAAGTCAATCGCCAAGACACCTGATAATATTGATGACTTTTCAAACAGAGAATGGCTTATCTGTAAACGTGAACGAAATTTACCATCTTGTGTTAAAAAAAATTTTTTTTTTTTTACTGTCTCTTTACCAGGATAAGTCAAACAGTCACACAGTTATATTCTTCTTCTTCTTCTTCTTTGCGTACACCAGCTGAACACTCTGGCGGAAAGTTCTGGTTGCTCGTCCATTACTGAACTGCAGTCCTGCACCAGAACCTGAGTATTGCGTGTGCATCAGTTTTACAGATCTCATTCTCTTGAATACAGACTGATTATTCCTTGCCTCTCCGGCAGATGCACTCCAACTTCAAAGGAAGCTCCCCAATTAGTCGACTCTTACGACATGCTTTTGGGGAGGCAGTGGGTCTATGCTTGTTTTCCCCACAATGGTGCCCCGGAAACCACACGGGGGACAGTTATATTGACATGGCACTTGTCAAATAGAACGAGTACCCCATATTAGGTTAGTTGCATATCCTTCACAGGACATTGCAGAACCAACCCCAACAGCCCCTGGCTGTTGTGTGGTTTTTGTAGGCAAAGTTACGTCCAGTAGTTTGCCATTGCGCTCTGGACGGTCGGCTTTCTTGATCCCACGTTTGAAACCAACGCAAGGCGCATGGCCGCAGCTGAGATCGAACCCGGCATCCCGGCATTACGAAGCGTCCGCATCGACTTAGCCACAGAGCCGAAACCCCATATTAGAAGGGGATAATAAAAGAATAATAAATTACCAATTACAAAACTGTTTCCTTCTAAAGGAGCATGAAATGTACCGGAACCTGGGGGTTTAGGCACATTGACCCCCCCCCCCCCCCCCACCCCACCTTCGCCTCTCACTTTAAAGGGCTAAGCCCCTCCTCCTCTACTCCTCCCCCTCCTTTGGAAAAAAAAGAGGTCTGGGTGGGCAGAAACTAGCAATGGGACTAAGTGTACCTACTAATCCCGTATAGACGTTCTATGTTCAAGTATTTCTTTATGCATTTTCTTTTCGTTTCAATATTAGTATATATATTTGTCAATCATCACTTACTAATAATTGAACTAATTTAGTCGTCCCCATGTGGGATGCAATTTTTCGTTATTTGAAGCCCAACTCTGGTTTTGCCGGGGGTCCTAATTATAGCCGGGCCATATATATGGCCTAACGGCTGAAAGTGGTTTCAGGGACCTCTCCAAGGGTGATCCTCATCCGCACGGTGGCACTTTGTGTCATCGGGTGTTTATCTCTCTGTGTGATGTCCTGTTGGGATAAATTTACTTACTTACATACTAATAATATTAAATATTTTTAATGCGCCCCTAAACATGGCTTAAACCCTTTGAGCTCCCGAGGCTAGAAAATTACAGTAACAGATATAAAACAGAACGAAAAGTATACCAGCAACCTTCATAATATAACAAACAGAAACTAAACGTGATTGTTGCTCTATGGAGCCTTCATCAGCACATACATAAATCAAGCAATACCACACAAATACACATAATCACTTAGCTTAGTATCTGGAAGCAGTCAGGTCAATGTCTTGCCAGTAGACTGATGAGACTCGTGAGACAGGAGAATAAATACCCCCGGGGATTGCCAGGGGCAGTATCTGGAGGATAAAGATGACTTTGCGGTGGCGTCCCTGCTGATGAGTAATTCTGCAATAATCCTAGCAATAATACTCCCCGTCACCCAATATCCACAGCATCCAACATGGCACAGCTAAACACCTCAGTATCTGCCTTCTTCCCTGGCAGAAGACAACCATCGCCATTGTCAGCACCTCATCGCCCTAGGGAGAGTCTGTAGCGAAGTGGTCACGCCGTTTGCCTCTGAAGGTCATGGGTTCGTTTCACAGCTGCGCCATTTAGTTCACGAGTGCAAATTTTACGGAGATTCCTGGTTATCGTAGCCAGAGCTGTGAAGTTCGTGCTTTGTGTGGCGCTGTTGACAGACGGCCAATCGATCTGCGGAGAGAGACCGAGCCATATGAAATAAAACCTGGTGCAATGAAGTCGATCCTCTCGACGTTAACCTTTAACTTTAACCTTTAACCTTATCGCCCTGCTACCATCCATCCTGAATTCCACACAGAACAAATGGCACATAACTACTGAGCAAGCTGACTCCTGCATCTCCTGCACCCGTCGTGATGAATACAAGTCAATGAACTCTTTCTGCGTTTTGAGTCGATGTGGTCATTTTATTGGTGCTAGCAATATATTTTAAAGGATCAACCAATGCTTGATTGGTGATAAGTTCAATTCCGCATCGGTCGCATTTACTTCCAGGAAAATTTCCTGGTACAAATTTAGGTTGGCTTTATGTGATCATCTAAGTCACTTAAAAAAGACGGCGTCGCTTATGTCTAAACTTGCTAACCACTCCTCAAATTAGCCTAATTTTCCATACTATTTCTAATTTATTTTAGCAATAATGAATGTTCTACTTAGTTTGACAAGGACACAGTTTCTGTATTACATACCTCTAAAAGTATAGGAGGACTTTATAAAAATTTACGGCAAATACGTAAAGGATATGTACCTAGTTTTCACATTCTACAGAACATTATAACAGATTGTCATGCAATTTGTGAAAGCTGCATTGTAAAAACTTCTAACTCAGGTTTCCACATACATGGTGGGCCACGGCGTCGTATCAAGAGTTCGTCGACGAAGCTGTTGGCATGCGAGAGAACCTCATCAAACGGTCTGGAATTCCCAGGGAGTCCGTGAAAGGATTCAGAGTTCCATTTCTGCAGCTGGGAAGTGACAACATGTACAGCGCCTTGTACGATTCCAAATTTGTGTGAGTTAATTTTTGAGCCAAATATCTTTCAAAACAATGTTTATTGGTAGCGATTGTAAATAATGCGGACGCAAACAATACACTGCACAGTTTATTGTCAGGTGTCTTCTCTCTTCTTCTGCCTTTCTAACTCCCAATGGAGCATTGGCCCTTACCCAGCTCAAGCGAAGTCAACCTACCCATCACTATCGCTTACAGCTCTCCCCATGTCGTCCCTATCTTTTTAACTTAACACTCTAGCTCCCTTATTCACGCCTTTTTTGGGGGGGGGGAGGGGGTCTTTCTCTATCTCTATGCCCCTGCGGGTTCCAGTGCAAAGTCGACATTCCAGGTGCCAATTCTGGAGGTTTTTCTATGTGAAAGGAGGTACGTCGACGATCCGGACTCCTTTCGGCTTTCTCCACGCCGTGTCATAACTTCTGTGTACTTCGCTGTACCTCGACAGTTGCTTTACAACAGACTTACTTGCAAGTCCCCATTTAATGAAGGAAAAGAAAAACCTGAATTAACTCCGCCCAAACATCTGTCTTTTTAGAATTAGAACGGTGCTTTGTTGTCTAAATCCCATTCATCGCAAAGTGAAAGATTAATACTTGTCAGTGTTCGTCAGACACAGTATCTGAACGTCTCCTGTCAAATGCTGTCGCAAGCAACTCACGCAGTGTTCACTGTCTTTTTAACTTCACTCTCTCCTTGAGGTGTTTCGTCTACTTCTTTTTCTGTACCCCCGTGGGTTCTAATGTAAAACATTATAGTTATATTGTTCCCAGATTTTCTTAAGGTGTGTCCTATCCATTGCCGGCGTCTTTTCTCAACCTATTTATTGACTGGAATTTGTTTAGTTCTTCCCTAGGGCTCTCCGTGACTCTAACATACCATTTTCCCCCAAGCACAAGCACCAGTTCATAAATGCTCGTAGTTTATTAATAATTGTTTCAGATGTACTAAATTTTACAGCTCCATACCCAATAAATCGGCATACTAATATTTTACAAATTTCCCAGTGCTATGAAAACTCCTCTTACTTTTTTGCATTAGTATTTTAATATTTGTATCGGTTCTCCCATCTTTATCTACATAATGTCCTGATAGGCGTTGAGTGGGCTATTACCATGGCCTGTTGTACTCTCATTATCTTCCCTATGCATTTTTAGACTTAATTGTTGTGATCTCTTATCAAGTGTATCTAATTTATCTTGCACCTAACTCTGTGAATTGGATAGCAGCATAGGTGCCAGAACTTGGGAGCTCAGACGCATTGAAGTCCGCTCTAACGGGAAAAAAAATATTGTTAGGGCTGTAAGGTGATTGGGGGAAAAGGGGGGGGGGGGCATCGGTCCTGATTTACCCTAGAAATCTTGTCTTATTTCTGAGACTGTTTTCCACATTACAGCTCGGTTCGGAACAGTTAATAACTTACACCCGTCCCCATGTGGGACGCATTTTTCGCTATTGCAAAGAGCCCCACCCTGGTTGTTGCAGTGGGCCCTAATATAGCCTGACGGTTGAATGGGGTTTTTGGAGCCTCTCCATGGGTGATCCTCACCCTCATTAAACACACACTCTCTCTCTCTCTCTCTCTCTCTCTCTCTCTCTCTCTCTATATATATATATATATATATATATATATATATATATATATATATATATATATCACCACATCTTTTGTACACATCCTTTGGTAAGTGCGTTATTGTATGTTGCGGGCCTAAATCCTCAAACTAAAGACTCCACGACTGCACAGGAATTGTGGTTTATGTGTGAGTGATGATGTGAGCATGAGCGTGTACTTGTGCGCGCATGTGTGTGTTTCATAGTGCGTGCGTGTGTGCGTGCCTGTGTGTATGTGGTGTGTACGTGAGAGAGAGAGAGTGTGTATATATATATATATATATATATGTGTGTGTGTGTGTGTGTGTGTGTGTGAGTGTGTGTGTGTGTGTGTGTGCGATTAGCAAAAATAAACTATTTCTGCTATTGCAGCTATGATACCTCCATGTTTACCGGAAGTCAGTGGGAAGGCGGTGACCCAGTGTGGCCTTTCACCCTGGACTACGTGCCTAGCAACACCCACTGCCAGCACGGACCCTGCCCGACAAAACAATACCCTGGCATGTGGGAGATACCGGTAGGTGTCTGTTATTCATAATCAAGAACATCTAAAGTGACAAATTCCCTTTGTTGAAAATTTGAAATTAAAATGACATTAAATTTAAAAAAAAATGATTGCATATTACAGCGAACAGGGTTTAACATACAGCTGGAATCTTGGAAAATGAATTTTAAAAAATTAAAATTTAAAAAAAATATTCTTTGAGACTTTCTATACATGATTCTAAAATGAATGCTTACATTTTCTTGGACATTCAAACTGAGTAATCCAAATATATATAATGCGAACACAAACAATACACTGCACAATTGACTGCCTGGTATATTTGGCTGTATCTCGTCAGGTGCATTACTACAGTTAAATCAACACATAGTGAAGCACAAAATGAATCCTTGCCTTCCTGAAATGCATAAACCACATTTTCGAGTTGTTTATATCTATCCGCACCATATACCCAGTTCGCCCACATGTGTTGAAAAGGATTCTTCACTAGACATTTTGAACAAGGCTAAGACCCGAGGAAAACGTATCGCTAGCATCAGAAAGAAACAGTCATAGTTGTCTGGTCACATACAGGTGGAAATCACACAGTGAAGCATTACCTCCAAGACGGTTTGGCATGGTCCCTTGATAACGATGATAACTCCTTAGGAGGTGCTTCAGAAGATGGTGACTTGATCAGGCACTGTTTATGTATCTATACTAAAGAGATTCTAGTAAATCAAAAGGAGACGAAAAGACGCTAGCGTTGGATAGGACACGCATTTAGAAAACCTCAAAACAGTATAACTACAAGGGTTTTACAGTGTCACCACATTCGGCCGACCACTACCATCTTCATCATGGATATTTGTTTGCCCTTCTTTAAACATTCGACATCATTTCCTAACCATACTATCAGTCTTAACATTTGACCCATTAACATCAATGAGTTGCAGCAATTTCTGCAGCACTGTTGTTTATTTACTAACACAAAACAGATCACAGCACGAACCTCGCAGCTGGCTGGAGTTTATTTTTGCACTAATTATAAATCACTCACACACAGCAGCAAACAAGATTTCCACAGTGAGAAAATAGCACACAGATAGCTAGTGAACCACATAAACATGCTGCATATGCACATTTACGTTTTTCATAGTTGTATGTGGATGCGGTCAAAACGGAACTTACTTTTTTTTTTAAACGCCCCTCGTAAATGTACAATCATTTGTAACACAAATTAGTAAATAAACATGTTCAAAAATCATTAAACTAAATTGTGATTTTCTTAACCGCTGTGCCTTGAATTACAACCGATGGTTGTCTTAAGAATCGTAAAAATATTGCATGTTTTTCCTCACATGAATACATGGTGAAACATTTGCACTGATTGACCGACCAGGTACAAAGGTGGTACGGGTTAGACGGCCACTCATGTGCCATGCCGGATGGCTGCAGCAGTACAGGCGACGCTGAAGAAACGTTGGAGTACTTGAAGTCTAATTTTAGGTAAAAAGGTTACTTTAATGTTTTTCTAATGACTTGCATTTCAGGCCTTTAATTTATTTCACTGAAAATATTTGCTATCTTCTTTTGCTACTTCCACTTCACCCAACGCACCCCCCCCCCCCCCCAACCCCAACCTCCCTACTTGAAAAAAAGTGTTTGTTGAACCGCGAAGCATGGAAATATATTCATTCTTTTACATCACTTACATCACTTACTGCACACCTATGACTTTTGCCCTTTTTTACTTTCAGTCTTTTTTTAGTTTGTCCATGTGCGTTTGCGTGTGTGTGCGTTTGCGCGCATGCGCGTCTATATATATATATATATATATATATATATATATATATATATATATATATATGGCACCGGCGCCAATAATCATTTGACCCAGCAGGTTCTTGTGCCAATGCGTTCATCATTCTACATCAGATGATCCAAATGTTTGTCCTAATTGTCGTCAGCGTATTTTCTTCGCCTATCGACTGACTCAGGTTCAACCCCCAACAGGACCGCACAACAAGCGATAAACACCCAGTGACGCAAAGTGCCACCATTCAAGTAAGAAGCATCCGGGCGCAAGAAACCCCGTTCAAACTTTAGGTTATATTTAGGACACCCGACGACAGACACGGTGGGGCTTTAAAATAACAAAACTTTGTGTCCCATATTCGGATAAAGTTAACGCTTATCAGTTCTGCAGTATTAATTTTAATTCTTCTCAAAATTTCGCACTTTATATTTTCTTGTAAATATACATTTGATTTCCTCATTCGGCGCCAGGTACTGAATGTTTTTCATAGCACATTAATAACCGCCCAGGGTCCTTAAACAGACGGTTAACGTCTGAGCTGGCGAAATACCTTATGTAATAATTCTACGTGTGTACAGCCAATTTATCGTGCCCGACTACTTCCATCAACAAAAAACTGCATTTCTGGTGGCAACTTTTGGCTTTGGCGCCTGTAGTAAGTGAAATATGCATTTACTGCGTGCGCACATTTCTAGATTTTTTCGGAACTAATAGTTGTGTTCACCATTTTTCAACTGGGACAGTGAGGAACATTTCAATTGATGTGCACTGGCACAGGAACGGAGCAAGTATGAAGTGAACCCATTGCAGCCAAGTTGCAACCTTGACAAAGACTCAGAGTAAGACTTGAAGGAAATCATGTATCTGCTTCAGATTTTTGTTCATGTACAATGTTCAAAGACAGAAGACCAAACGCGGACAGTTCTGCAGATATCGCCACAACAAGTTCTCCTATTTGAATGGGTAGACAACTTTGTATGGTCTCACTTCACTTTTGTTTCCTGACACTACACACTGTTATAAGAAGTTGACTGGCTGGCAAGTAATGCCCTACAACAACCAGAATACCGCACCAGTTGGGCAGACATCGTTCTACGGGCCATTCTGACGAGTCTCAAGAGCTAACCTGATTCTGTGACATGGGTGTTAAGCCTGGCCTAGAACACCTATGCCATCACTGAGTTCAAGATTTAAAAAAAAACACGTTTTTTTCATGTCGTTATAGGTACTTTATAGGTACAGTAATTGAGATTACCTAAATATGCTCCAGTATGACTACATGACACTATGCACTGTGACTTCCTAAAATGATCTATTGTGACAACATAAAACTAGTCACTGTGACTACATGACGCGATCCAGTGTGGGTGCATGACGTGATCTATCGTTACAACATAACACGAACATGATCTACTGGGATATTTCAACATGATCTATCATCACAACATAACATAATATACTGTGACAACATGACATGATCTATCGTGACAGTATAACATGATCTATGGTGACACATTAACCTGATCAATCATGAAAACAAAACATTATCTACCTATACAGCATGATCTACCGTGACAGTACAACATAATTTATCGTGACAACAAAACATAATCTACTGTGACAACATATTATGATCTATAGTCACAACATAACATGATGTACTGAGACAACATAAAATGATCTATAATGACAAAATAACAAAAATCAGTGTGACGGCATAGATCAACCTTGAGGGCCTCAGTGACTAAGTTGTTGATCGCTTTAGGGATCATGTGTGTTTTCACAGACTACGTCGATACTCTCTAGTAAATACATGCTTTCAAGTTTAACATTGCAGCAATTGGTTAGATCGACACATGTGGGCTTTGTTCTTTCGCCTTCTAGACAGTAATAGACTCTCAACCAACTCACGCCAATTCGTTCTATCCTTCGCTATTGCACACAGCTCACCATATGTCTTCCCTTCTTTTTAACTTCACTTTCTAGCACTCTTCTCCGAGTGTTTTGTTGTTGTTGGTCGGTCTGCCTTTATTTCTTTTTCCCTGTGGTTTCCAGTGCAAAGACATTCTAGTTTTATAGTTCTCATATTTTCTCAACGTATATCTTATACCACACCAGCGACCTTTCTTCATCTTTTGGTCCACTGGAACTTGTTTAGTTCTCGCCCAAAGCTCATGATGAGTTGTTCTATCGTACCTTTTAAATCCATATATTCTGAGCAGGAGCCAGTTAATGCATTTTTATAGTTCATTAGTACCTGTGGGCTATCAGGTCTCCATTGGAAACCTAAAAATAATAAAAATGTAACATAAAATGTATGTCATAGCTCAGTTCACCAGTACGGAGATCCCTGGAAATCGTCAGCGGAGCTAAAGAGTTTGTATTTTTTTTTTAAACTCTCGGCACGCACATTGCCAAGATAGGGCCAAGGCATATAGGATAAAGCCTGGTGCAATGCAGTCTACCCCCTCGACTGTTAACAACCGTAAATGCCGACAGCGTCTTTACGAAGGTAATAGATTAGTCAAAGACCGTTTGCATATACTCACAGTGTGGTCTAAAACATTGAAAATATCACTTATTTGTTATCATGACAATGTAGAATAGCATAAGAAACAATTAAATATCCCAAACTACTCTTTCCAGACGTTTCTACAACTCGAACCGTGCACCGTTTGGTATTTTCGTGCACGCCCGTTGGTTCAATTCCGAGCACAACCTGGAGGGCTTGGACAGGTTCATCGACTACTTGCTGACTCTTGATGACGTGTACTTTGTCACACCCAGTCAGGTAGGCCGTCTTAAATGGATAACTCTTTTATGTTTGTAACCGATGCCAGCCACGTCAACAGATGCCTGAAAATAACCAGATGTGTCGGTCTCAAGGTACAGATATCACTGCTCCGCACACAGCAATAAAAACTTTTTCTCTTCCTTTGTCAGTATCTGCTCATGCAGTTCATCAGACTATCGGCAGCCGAGCCAGGTCGCGCTCGGTCGCTTGATATGCCGTGATGTTATGCAGTCTCAATGTGTCAGTGACTCCTTCAATCCATATCCTTCTCGGTCTTCCCCTGCCTCTTGGTGTTTCGATTCTGAGGTTGTACGCTCTTGCTGTTGGAACGTTGGTTTCATTCTCACTAGATGGTCAAACCAATTCATTCTTTGTTTCTCAATAAATCTGACGATGGGTGTTATTCCAACAGTTGTTGTGTTCACCTCGTTTCTCACTCGACCTCTTCTGGTTTTATTCACAGCTATTCTCAAACATCTCATCTCACAAGTGGTTAGTTTTCTCTCATGTTCTTTAGTCAATGTCCAAGTCTGACATTGGTTACCTTAAGTCGGTATAAATATTGTACTTATAATTTGTCTTTTTGTTTCTACTGGGATGGCAGGGTATTTTAAAATTGGAGCAAGTTGGTGCGTTACATTATTGGCGTGTGGATTCTCGTTTCTATTTTAACATTGTGTGTTAAGATACTTCACATGTATTTTAATTCCTGCACTTGTTTCAGACTTTGATCTTTATGTCGATAGTTTGTTGCTCTCTACTAATTCTCATGTCCTCTGTTGTTGTTGTTTGTGTGTGTGTGTGTGTGTGTGTGTGTGTGTGTGTGTGTGTGTGTGTGTGTGTGTGTGTGTGTGTGTGCAATTTTCATCTTGATGTGATATTTAAGGCAACTGTCGTATAGTTAGCTAATGTGATCCTGCAACTGTTTACTTTAACTGTGGAGTATGCACTGATAGTCGGCAAAGAGCAGCTCATTAAAGCCCTTCTGTTTATCGACATTTGGTGGTGTTATGTCTATTTTATTTATATTTCCCACAAAAATTATAAAGAGTACAGGTGAAAGAACACTCCCTTGCCGTACTCCTGATGTTACTGGGAACCAGTCTGTGAGGCTAGCTCTTGTTCCGATGGCGCTTTCACTTCCTCTACAGCTCTTATACTGTCTAGCATTGTTCCATTTATTATTATAGTTTTCGAGGACATCATATAATAGATCTCTGTTCACTCTGTCAAAAGCCTTTTCATGATCTATAAAAGCGATGTTCATTTGGTGTCTGTTCTCTTGTCTTTTCGCTCATTTACTTTAGGGTGAAAATAGCATCAGTACACCATCTTCCTTTCCTGAATCCAACCTGTGCTGGGCTCAGAATCAGTTCTAGAACAGATTTAATTCGTTGTCCCAGAATCTTGGCAAACATTTTACCTACGTGCCTTAAAATGTGCTAATAAGTGTTACAATCTTGCTTATTGCCTTTTCTTTTCCATATTGATATGATACTATAATGGCTCGTTGCCAATCTATGGGTACAGTTCTTTCATTCCAGGCTTTCCTAAATATATGGAGTAGCCATGTGACTCCAGTTTCCCCACATGCCTGTATTGCCTCAGCTGAAAATTCCATCAACACCAGCTGCCTTACTGTTTGGACTGCAGCTAATTGCTTCTCTGACTTCTCGTTCAGTTATTCCAGGCTGTTCCTCGTGTGTATATCTGGATGTGAATAGTATTGCTCCTTCATTTTCTGTTAGGTTCAGAAGAGCTAATTAAACATTGAAAATAAAAAAAATAAAAAATCTAACCAGGAAAGTGGGTGAGGGAGCGTATGAGGAAAAGGGGGAGAAGAAGCAGAAGAAGAAGAAGCAGAAGAAGAGGAAGAAGAAGAAGCAGAATTTAAAAAAAAAAAGAAGAAGAAGAAGAAAAGAAGAAGAAGAAGAAGAAGAAGAAGAAGAAGAAGAAGAAGAAGAAGAAGAAGAAGAAGGAAGCGGATCAGAAGGAGGTATTGACGACAAGGATGTCGATTTTTTCATACCCTTACGCTTTTATTGATTCATAATAATGAGTAAAATGACTGTATAATTTACAGCTATCTAATTTACGGAAAATAGACTTGCAGACTGTTCTTTGTTTGTTTTAGTATCCAGAAGCCATGAGTTATGAACCCTTAGGCTCGGTATTATGGATATCACAACCTTTCGGCATTGATTCCATTTTAAATACCGTAAATCTGGGAGAAATGTGGCTTTTCTGCCCACCCCCGGGAGTGAACCCGGACCACAAGGAGTTCGTCACCCGCTCACCGCGCAATCCGGTTTAGCCAACTACGCTAGAGAGACTGGTGCAGACTGTTGTAAACATTTTAATATATTGACATGACATTAGTAAAACTGAAACTGGTATTTGTTTTTTGTTAACATCTCATTACTCTCCATAGGTGATCGACTGGATGAAGAACCCAACTCCTTTGAGTGAAATCAACGGTTTTGGACCCTGGTCCTGTCAAGGAGGTGCAAAAGATAATTAGACAGATCAGAAGACGTCACTTGCACAATGGTTTTGTGCAGTTTGTACATGTATTCAAATCGGCCAAGGAAAAACAAAATCAATGCAGCACATACATATGAGTGTAGTCTTTTTTTTTTTAAATCGCACTTAAAAGGGCGGTAGGCATGTTGTGTTATGGTTTATAGCTAGGCTACCTAGTTGAAACTTTAATATTTTTATGGTGTTCATTGACATTGACTGAAGAGAGTTGAAATTATAATTATTTGACTAGAGACTTATTTTTCGTTTATTTATTGATTTCATTTAACAGATTCCATTGTTGTTATCTTATCTTATGTTACTACAGTCGACGTCACAGCACATTGGGCATTTCCATGCGTGCTCAGTCCTGCGATGAAGCAGCCGCTCCAATGTACTTCTATTGATTGTTTTCATGAGTTGCTGATTGTAATGTCTTTTTATGTCCACCTTGTTAGCGGCATAGACAGGTTTTGCAATGATTTACTCCCCTGTCACGCAGTCGTAATAATGTATTACACTGATGATCTAGTCTACAGCTCTTACAAAAAAGGGGGGGGGGGGGGGGGGGGGGGGTTAACTTCATAAACGTAGAGTGTCCCAGTATAACAGGGTTCCTGGTATTAGTTCTTGGTAATGGAACCCAAATAGGAGCTCTTTTATGTAATCCCGGAGGAGAAATAAAAAATAAATTGTTATTCTTATGTTACTTCTGACTGTACTGATCTGTTTGTTCTATGTAGTTTTTAATTCTTAATTTTCGATTTATTCATCATTTTTAAAAATCCACAGTTCTAAACGATCAGACATAGTGATTCATTATATAGTAAGCTGGTTTATCGTTCGGGAGTCCCGGGTTCGAATCCTCAGTGAAGTAATGGAAGCTACGCATGCCCGGATAAGAAATCAGTCAGACCCTTACAGTTGGAGGCAACCTCACTACATATGCTGCCCTAAATAATTCAGCTTGGGAGCTTCATCTCTCCCTTTCCAGCTAATTCTTCACTGTCCTGAAAAGTGGTACATTTGGGCGGTTATCTGTTTTAGTCAAACCTTCGCTCCTGACGTCTGCAACTGAAACACATACTCATCTAAAACGCGCAACAATATTTTGTATAACATTAGACGTCTTGTTTAACTGAGTGTCAGTTGAACTGCCCATAACTTCTCGTTGCCTTCATTCTTTTAACCTATTTTATTTATTTTAAAAATTAAAAAAATTGACCCTTTGCATGCCACTGGCGTATCAAGTATATGATGTTACGTCCATATTGTTATTACCAAAAGTAGGGTAACCTTTGTGCAGTGTTGCCACTTTTCTTTGACAAAAAATATCCAAAACGGTGTCAAAAAATATCTACAAAGATCTAAATCTGCGTGGAAAAGATCGAGAAAAAAATCCAAATTGAAAAAGTCAAAACTTACATAGCTTTTGTTATGACTTACCCTATATAATCATGTACTCACCTTCACTGATGTCTGCCTCACAAGATCCACAGGATAAACTTAGCTTGGATAATGAAGTTGAAGCTTTAGATCCAAAATGACCCTGGTATGCTTTAGCTGTTCAAATTTCTTTATAAGTGGAACAGTAGGCTTATTTCTCTAGTCTCATCAGGCCGAATTTTAATGGCACGATAGCATTTAAGAGGTCAAATTTCACCCTGTTTTTTTTAGGTTAGATTTGATATAATTCCTAGCACTGAAAACTCTTTCTACGTCAGCATTTGAGTGGGGTAGTATCATGGCAGACATGGCACTTTAAAGAGCTTACAGAATGGACTATTTAATGTGGCATCTTTAAATTGTCTCACTTCAATCGCTGAGGCATTATCAGTACCAATTACAGCCAAATTCTTCAAGCCTAACTGCTTGCTTAAGTCCTTCAGTTCCTAAACTATACTTTCTACATCACACTTTTCAAATTGAACTAGTCCAAGATTTTTTACAAATCGATCAAATGGTCACGGTTTGAAATTGCGCAGTGACAAATTAAAAACATTGCGACTGATACTTCAACTTTTGATGATTCATTTATCAGTATAGTTCTGAAAACAGATGTCAGCGGTGTAAAATCTTTACATGAAACTGCAGTTTTATGCTTTTTTAGTCTCTGCATGACTCTTTGAGTTTTGTATTTTCGCTTTTATTTCACACTTGCAGTACTTACAACAAGCTTTGGTCATATCCCCAGTTTTTAATTTTGTCATCATGCAACCATTCTTTCCAAATTTTGTGCTCATACTTTACTTTTGGCATGCTGAAAGATTTTTTCAAATTTAAAGCCACATAAGAAGGTGAGCAATTATTTTTTTTTAAATCACATGAAAAAGAAACGCAAAGTCAGCACAGTGAGGATACGGTTGAAACAAAGTTAGTATGATTTACGCGCGTTTTTATTAATCAGTACCGGGGCTGCCAGATATTTGTGCGTTGACCCCAGTGAGAGTTCAAAGTTCAAGTAATGGCAGTTGTCACAATGTACGTGCCAGACCAAAACAAAAATATTGTAGTAAATATTTTACACAGTAATTATCAAATTGACAATGAAAGAAAAAAAATCTATAAAATATCTAACTCCATATGAAAAGAATCTATAAAAATATTTAGGATCTAAACGTCAAAAACAGTATCTAAATGCAATGAAAAAGATCTAAATTTGGATATAAAAGATCCAAAGTGGCAACACTGCAGTAAACATCCAGAGAGTGAGCTGTTGCGAAAGCCAATAGGTAATAAGCCAAAGCGCAGTCCAAGTCAAGCCAAGATTACCTGGCACAAGCCACCCAGTTACTTAGTTACCATGAAGATCACCTGGCACAAGCCGCCCAGTTACTTAGTTACCATGAAGATCACCTGGCACAAGCCGCCCAGTTACTTAGTTACCATGGAGATCACCTGGCACAAGCCACTCAGTTACTTAGTCAATATTTACCCATAATATTAATTTTTTAAACACTTAAAATACTGAGAAACTGTGTCTGCATGTTTTGAGGTATTCATTACTCTTATTATTTTAAAATATTTGAGTTCCCAATTGTTTGTAACCATCATCATCTAGTACCTTGTCAGCTTCTTCACATATTGTTAACACTGACTGACAGAATGTATAAATTCAGGTCCAGACCTTGTCTCTGCCAAGGTAAGATGAGGCAAACCCCCCCCCCCCTCCCTACCCTCAGCCTTTCCCTATAAATCTTTCTAGCTGTTACAATATATTCCAGGGTTTCCCTTCAGCATTTCCCATTTTTTAACTGATCTTCATTCACCAGCTGTAAGGTCCGGCACAAACAACAGGTTGTTCATCCGTTTAGACTGGCTTTGTTCCAGGCCTGAGTTTTGCTTGTACATTCATTTTACTGGCTCATTTGTGTGCAGCTGGTTGTTCCCTGTCACTAGAGCAGATGCATTCCGACTTTGAAGGAAGTCCCCAGTTGGTCCACTCCTACAACCTACTTGGGGAGGCAGTGGGTCATCTATTTTTGTTTTCCCCCACAATGGGGCCCAGGAACCCACACGATGATGTAGTTAAATCCTCATCACTAGCTTCACTTTTCACCACAGAAGTGTGAGAAGGAACTATTTGGGGTCCAGCTTTCAGTGGATGGCCCTGGCTACTGTCAGTACTGGCACCACTAGTGTGATGATGAAAGTCACTTTGGTGTTATGGGCTCCTAGGTCCACCCAGCCTTGAGTGTAAGAAATAGAACTATTGCAGCTATACACTGACAGCCGAGCATGGTTTATGGACAACATCTACACTGTAAGAGGGTGGGAACTGGAAAAGTGATGTAGATTTATCAATTCTATTTCTGGCACCGTTTTCCCCCCCCTCCCCCCCCCCCCCCCCCCCCCCCATATCTTGCTTTATGTCTGCCACTCTCCATTACTTACTTTCTGTATACCTCCCACTAATTTTCTTGATCTGCCTTTTTTATTTCTGTTGTTGGTTCTCTCCCTCTGTATGTTTGCCTCTATATTGTTCCTCTGTCTCTCCTTTCTGTCTAAATCTTGTCCTGCTTGCATCTCCTTAACTGCCTGTCTCCCCATCCAACTCTGTCAAATTTTTCCATCTCCCTTCTCTCTTGATTTGCCCATGTCTCTACCTGTCTGTCCCTTTTCTGCTTTTGTCTACCTTTGACTTTCACTCTCTCCCCCACATCATCTGTCTCCATCCCTCCAGGTCTAGAGCAGACCGGACTTTAGTCTTCTGTACAAAAGCCAACCTACCAGTTTAACCAAAATTCTATCAGGAAATGAGCTGGGAAGTAAAGGTGGCCAACACAATTAATGCCCAATGGGCTATACAAGTGGTGGTGCAAAGTTTCAACAATTATTTGTTTCAAAAACTGAAACAACAGAAATTACAAATATATGTTGACTGATTCTGCAGTGCCAGCTTATTTCATGTGAGTGGCCGAAGCTGACTGCTAGAGGACTTCAGAAACAACCGTATCCCTCTATCTTGACCCTTCCTGAAGGACTTGGTCGGCCCTGTTGCTGAGTTCTCCTAGGATCAGCATGGCTCTAGATGAATGTCCACCTGGTCTGGTCACCTTATTGTTGCTGTAATTGCTGACTGCATTCGTTGTGGCTGTTCTTGAGGACTGGGAAAATCATAGAATAGAACCCCTGCTTCCACTCACGAGCATTTTGTAAATTGGTAACTCATTGGGGGTATACTAAAATCGATTGTGTTGGGCTGAAGTGTGCAGATATCACAGCCAGACTAAATTACAACACAAATGTGCCATCCACTCTTTTAAGTGCAAACATAGAAAAAAAAAGAATGTGGAGTTATTAGTAGCTATTAGTGCCTTTGTGACACCAGGTGTAAACCACAACACAACGTGAGAACCATTCTTTCAAGGGCGAACAAAAAGAACGAAGTTTATCTACCCGTGACATTATCATTTAGCATCTCGCCGCCGCTATCGCAGCCTAGCTGTGAATCACAAGAACAAGCGAAAGGCGCATATTTGGCAGCCTAGCTGTAAACCA